TCAAGATATCAGCCTAGGACCGGGGAGATAGATAAGCATTTGCTGGCAAGTGCAGGGTCCTGAGTTCAATTCCCGGTACCAAAAAAAAAAAAAAAAAGATATCAGGCTATTTAGTATTTCCTTAAGGATGTACCTATGATTTAAATAAGTGTTTTAGTGATCAACAGAATTAGAAAATCTAGCAAATCTAAAAGATGTTCCATTAAAAATTTCTAGTTTTGCTGCCTGGATTTAGGAACCTGAGGACAAGAACTAAAATCCAATACAAAACTAAGATTAATTACATGAATGGCACTGAGTTATGGGATGGTCCTTTCTAATCCTTATATATTGTGTTTATATATTCCTACTCAAAAATGGCCAACCAATAGTAATAAGTAAAATACAGAAGTGTAAAGATAGCAAAATAAGTTTCCTTGTGTTTTCCTTTATCCACATGTTAAAAATTAGGAACATTCCACAACACAAAGAAATGTCTGAATAAATGGAAAAGTACATATTGGAGAAAATGACGCCATCACAGAACCAAACAACTTTATGGAATATGAAATTCAACAATCAAGCTACTAGAGATGCAAAAACAAACCAATGACTCTTACCACTTGACACTGGGAGATAGCTCAAGCCATCCTGCATCACTACTAATCCTATTTGAGACTATAAGATTTGGTTCCTATTAACTGAATCCTTTTCAGAGCATCAGTCATGGTGAGTAAAGGAGGTGCTTATGAATCCACTGATCCTTCACACAATTAAAGAGGTCAAAGTCTTAGAAAAGTCAAGTCAGGAATCTTGAAAGTAAATTATACGTTCAACCATTTGTATCTAATTTCTAATCCTTATATATTGTGTTTATATATTCCTACTCAAAAATGGCCAACCAATAGTAATAAGTAAAATACAGAACTCAGCTTGAAAACACACACACACACACACACACACACACACAGCTTTACCCAATGTCCCCTGTTAACATTCTACCATAAAAGCAAAAGGCCAGACATTTAAACCTGATAGAAATGTTTCAGTTCTTCTCTTCAAAGTATCAATTTCAGAAAAATTAAAAGCATTCTATCCACCAAGATTCTATGGTCTATCAGTAGGTCTGGGATCCTAACACAGCAGGAAAACATCTCTTATCAGTTCTAAATGTTCCAAGGGTACCAATATCTCATATAGCAATACTTGTGAGACCTCACAATGCTTCTTTCTTATCAACTGCACTCATATACCAACTGCACTCTTACATTAGATCTCTGACTCAATTAAATGACCTGGAGATATGCCAGTGCTAACCAGTCAAAAATACCTGCATACTACTTTATGTCAAGTATGAGACCCACAGGAATTGATGGCTGAATCAGGTAAAAAAATTGAGAATTCTTGGTATAATTCTTTGGTGTTAAGGTGGTTGGAAATGTGGCACTGATATAAAAAATGTTTCATATCATAAATATTAGGCACACAAATTAACTCAGACCATGCACTAATTATTATCTTTTCTTTACTACATATTTAATTCAAATCACCTGCTTACACTTTTTCTTGGTCTGCTTTTTTTGTGTGCAATGCTGAACTTAAGTGTGTTGGTTTGGAGATAGATATAAACAACCACAGAAACCACTTACGCTACTACTACATTAATTGCTCTAAATTCTACACTGATCTTCTGGTTTGGAGTGAACTAAATTTGTATATAATTTTGGATGAGGTCCATATTTTGCAAACCACAAAAAATACATTCAGGAAAATCCTTCAAAGACTAGCAAGAGACACAATCATCACCTAAAACCATTCCTGGCAGGAGAAATAAGATCTTATTTATTCACATCAACTAAGGTGGAGGAACAGCGTCCACCTAGTTTGCCAAGCAACAAGATTCGTGGCAAGTAAGTTATGCCAACATCAATACAAGTAGAAGAATTTTTCTTTACAAGGTTTCCCCACCTTCGGAAGTGAACAGAAAAATATCTACCCTGCTATTCTTGACTGTTGCTTCTGATAAA